TCATTCTATTTCTGTACCGTTTCTCTGTGTCTCTCTCCCACTTTGCTGCTTCCCTCCCACAGCCTTAGTTCAGCCCTAAGTCAATTGACCACTGACTTGTTTGCTGTCATTCATGCCTCTCACTAGTCCATGCTCTAGAGCCAGGGTCTGCAAACTGTTTCTCTAAAGGGCCAGATACGAAATATTTCAGGCTTTCCAGGCCATAAGTTTTCTGTTTCAATTACTCAACTCTGCTGATGTAGCATGATATCAGCAAAGAACAAATGGGTGTGGCTATGTTCCAATAAAACTTTATTTACAAAAACAAGAGACCCTTGCTTAATAATACTATCACAGCAGTTTTCTTAATCAATGCTGTTGCTTATACTGAAATACATTCCAGATGGCCCCCAAACCTCAGAGAATATAATAAAAATATAAAAGTACCAGAGAAAAACATGAGTTAATTCCTTAATAACCATCGGGTAGTGAAAATCTTTTTAAGCATTAAAAAAACCTAATAAATTTGAATACCTAAAAGTTAAAAATCTCACTGGGGCAAAATAAAACAAAATATCGCAAAGTAAAAAGAAAAAGCAAACTGAAAAAAAGTTTTTAAAGTATTTTAAGGAAGAAATGCTAATTTTCTTTATTTACAAAGAGCTTTAAAAAAAAATCACTGAGAAATAACTGAGGATATAAGAGGAAAATAATAGAAGGAAAAATATAAATGATCAAAACAGAGCAAAAGATGTTAAATCCCACCAAAACTTAAAAAATGAAAACTAACACACACACAAATCTTTTTCAATCATATAGGTAAAAATGGTATAAAGACTGTTTATGCACGAGCACGGAATACATGTCGGAATCTGATTCCCATATGCTATTGGACGGAGTGTAAATCATACAACCATTTTTAGGAAAAAACTGGTCGATCTACCCAAATTAAAATGTTTAAATTGGCAATTACATTTCTAAACACTTATCCTACAGATAGACTCACGTAAGTATACAAAGACTTATGTACATAACAGTTAATCACAGAATTGCTTTTAATAGCAAAAAAATGGAAACACCCTAAAGGTTTACCTGAGGAGGATCAGTTAAGTAAATAATGGCAGTTCCAAATAATGGAATAGTATGCAGTGAAGTAAATATTGTCAGTGAAAGTTATGCTGTTAAGAGAAAATGGCAAGTTGCAGAACTCTGTGTGTATGTGTATAATGATCCTATTTCTAGTAAAACGTATAACCATATCTATACCTTTATATCTGCATATTGAATATATATAAGGCTACATTTCAAGCAGGGGGTATTATCCAGAATGGAGGGGAAGGGTACTTTTTCAGTTTAAGATACATGCTTCTGGTCTTATTTGAATTTTTTTTTTACACTAAGTTTATAATTTAGTATAATTAAAAGCCCCTTAAAAGATAAATAAACAAGACAAAACACAAAGTGATTGTGTTCTCCAAAGAACCTTCCAGGACTTTCCCCTGCTGGGGTATAACAACAAAACTCTTTAGCATGAAATACAAGCCAATACAGCCCTGCCTAACTCATCAATCCCAGTAAGCGCCTCTCCTACATAACACTTGAGCCATACTGTGTTACTCATAGTATACTGCAGCTTTCTGAATATGCCAGGATGTATCAACCTTCTTTGCCTTTGCAAAGGCTTCTCCCTCTGCTTACAATCCTTGCCTTCTCTGCCTAGTAAACACTCATTCACCTCAACCCCTCCACAGGCAGAAACACTCTTTGCCTTATGCACGCAACTGTTATAATACCTATTAACATTAATTTCCCTAATGATGGGTATAGAAATAATAATAATAACAAAAGCTAATTAAGTGCCTACTAGGTGCTGGGCACACAGATGTTTTACATGCATTGTCTCATTTAATCCTCATGATGAGGCTATGAAGTAAATACCATTATCTCTACTTCACAGGTAAAGAAACTAAGGCACTCTAACAGGTAAATTGCCCAAAATCACATAGGCATTAAGAAAGAGTTCTGGGTTGGAAACACAGATGTATCCGACCACAGTTGTTTTATCTTTATATATGTGTATGTTTGCAAAATCTCCCTGCTAGACTATCAGCTTTTTCTTGAGGACAGAAATCATGTGTGAGTTATCTCTGTACCTCCAGCATCCAGCACAATGGAGTACACGGTCGACACTCAGTAAATACTGAATGCAGGCAGGCTCTCAGCATTTAAAGAGGACTTACTAGTTGTCATCTAGCTCCACCCACTATACAATGCAGGAGTCCGTTCTCCAACTTCTCTCAAAGATGAGCTGCTTCCACTTGGACAGTCCCAAAGACAAGGACCACTGCCTCACAGGGCAGCAGCCCATCTCACATCTGGATAGTTCTCCTGAGAACTCTGCATCATGCTGAGAGGATCTGCCACCCCTTAGCACTGGCAATCTCCTGGCTCTGCCTTCTGGACTAGAAATTAGCAGCACTGTTCCTCTGAATCAACAGAGCTACAGACATTTGTAGATAGCTACTATGTCTTCATTCTCCTTTTCCCTACCATCCTTCTCCCTCCTCCCTTCTCTCTTCCAAGCAAAACAATCTCATTCCCCAAGTGACAGGGCTTCCATATTCCCACTTCCTCATAGTTGCCCTCTTCTGGAGGATTTCAGTTTGTCAACCAAGTGAGAAGCATTGTGCTCAGATAACTAGCAAGTACTCAACAGGCATATGGCATGATTTCTGCCCTCAAAATCTTAGGGAAAAGATAACATACATTAAATAGACACTCAAATGTTTACATGTAACTATTTGGAAACTAACCTTTGAGGGTTTCCCATGTGTCGGGCACGCTGTTGGGCACTTTAACTGCATTATATGATTTAATTCTTAAGTGGTTTATACTATTCCTACTTTATGGATGAGGAAACTGCCTCATCAAGGTCAAGGAACTGCCCAAAGTCTCACCGGCTAGTAAATGTCACAGCCAAGATCTGAGCTCAAACCTGCTTGACTTTGCGCCATATTCTGAGTTTTGAAAAGGGAGACTTGGGCCAAGAGCAGTCAAGAGAAGACTTAATGCAAAGGCCTTGAAAAGATCTGACTGGATATGAGAGAGGCAGACCAGTCTCCCATGGGGGAATCAGCATGGGAGGGTGGAAAGGGACAGTGAAGCGGAAAAAAGTATGCTTCTAGGGAAGAGTTTAATCATTCCAGATTACAATGTTCCTTTAAAATTAGGTAGGGTTGAGGCAGGAGGCAATATGGAGGAAATGTAGGCTCTTGAGTAGGTTAGGAATTTATGAAAGCAATGTTTTAGGAAAGTTAGTCGGGCAGCCTGGGCAGCATCTATTGCATGGGGGGAGAATGAAGGCACAGAGAACAGTCAGGAGCTGCTGCAAAAACAAAAGACCTCACATATTTTGGACCTGAACTAGATGGTAGTTTCAGAAATGGGGATGAGAAATCATACAGACATAACAAAAGACTCCATTGGTAACAGCTGGATGTTAGACTAGAGATGAAGGGGAGAATGGAGAGCAAAGAATGATTCTGAGATTTCCATCTGCGGGAAGTGCAGAATGCTGGTATTACTGACCGAAATGGGGCCATGAGAGGGAAGAACTCATCTGCAGGGTGAGGGGAGACACTGGAGTTGACGCGTTAAATGATGGCGCACACACAGCGAGAAGCTCCTGCTGGTGACGGAGGTCACTTCTAAGGCCTACAGACTGAGAGGCCTCACTTTCTGGGTGACATCCTATGATCACATCTTATCTATAGTCATTCTTAACATGTCAACAACACGACACTCAAACTACTTGTGTCAGTGACAAAAGAGAACTTCCTTAGGAACGTGATGATTCCTTGCTCACTACCAGGAAGCACTCAGACATGATTTCGAGGACACCCCCTGGAATTAGTCTCACTGCTCTAGAGTCGCACTATCTAAGTCTTACTATGATTCTTCGGCTCCTGTGTCAAACTCCTTGTGTCTGTTTGTCATCTCCCCCTAAAAAAGATTTTCTTTAAGTGAGCTTGGTCACTGAGGAAAGAAGGTGTCTGGTTTACCTCCTTTTACCCTGGATTTCAAGCTCAACTCTCTTGAAAAACAAACAAACAAAACCCACTCCTTCCCTAACCTTCTCTACTCTCAAAAGCCTGTGTCTCATCTGTTCATTTCTTGATTTTGACTCAATAACATTATATATCACTTTCTTTCCTCAGAGTACCTGGTTTAACTTTATCATTCACCCATTATATTTCTTCTCCTTATTCTCATCCAAGAAGAAAAGGAGAGACCAGGTACTCACTCTGCAGGATGACCGAGAACATACATTCTAAACGGGGTTAGCCCAGAATAAGCTATTTTAAGTTTAGCTATGAGACGGGATGATAATAACAAAGCTTTGGCTGACTCACAGGGTGGTTGTAACAACCAAATGACATAATTATGGGTTAATACCCAAATGCATGCAATAAAATTCGGTGCAGTTTGCTACAATGAGGCAAAAAATCTGGTTCCAAACCTCCTTTCAGAAAAGCCTCATTGCAAACTCCCTGCACACCTGGACAATCCCAGAGGCCCTACACAAGAAGCAAAACACAGCAGTGACCCGGGCATCCCAGTGCCACCGTGGGCTCCCTGCACACCAAGCACAGCAGTGCAGTCCTCCCTGTTTTCAGAACTAGAGACAGAACTCATTATCTTACTGCATGTTTAAAGAATAGCAGGTGTAAAAACACAAAAGGCAAGAAAATAAGCAGAATAAGCATTTTAATTTAATTACAAATAAAAGAGAGACTATTTTTAGTGCGATACATTTAGTGCAATAGTATTTACAATTCTGTGTAAACAGAATTCAAAAATTTTGATTTTGAATCCCAACGAAATTGAAGACAGGAAAAATACTAAGACAGGACCTGCAGTTTCAAAATATTCCTTTTGGGGCAATAAATTAAATTAGCTTTTTGTTTAACTAAAAACAAAGTTGCAAGTAAGAATCTAACTACACCAGAAAAACAAAGTACCTGTGAGTTTGATTTTGGACAGCCGAGCCAAAATTCCCGGTATATCGTCCACACGCAGCTTCATCTCTTTCCACTGCCTCTCATCTTTTGTCTCTTTTCCCACATCTACTGAGCCTTCACTTATCGAGGCAGATTCCAGTTCTATCAATTCTTTGTCATTTGGCTTCTTGGACAAAGATAGGCTGGGAGGTGAAAGAGGTCTCAACTCATATACTTCTGCTTTGGCTTGACTCGAAGATGTTTTTTCAGGGAAAGGAGATGCCACTGGTTCTGGCTTCGGTTTTACTTGCTGGTTGAGGCTTCTGCTCAGTTGTGTGACATACTAAAAAAAGTATAAGTTACTATAAAACCAAGACCCCAAATACTCTTAAATGGTTGTTTAGTAACACCTTCCATCAGTCCAACTTTTATGGTACTTGAAAGATCTTCCTATAACTTTAGAACTACATGATGAATTAACTAACATTAGTATTTATTACATGGAAATCACCATACTAAGAGATATGGAGAACACAATTAATGTCTCAGCAATGGTTTTCAAATTCTACAGTTTATAAATCCTAGGAATTTAAGTTCCTTGAAAGAAAGATAAACTTATTTCTTACTCATCTCCTCCAGAATTTTCCCCAACATAATACCAGAAATTGGAGGTTTAACATTTCAAATACAATGAAAAAGTTTTTTATAATCAAGAGCCCAAGTTAACCTGGTGACTTTCCATGTTGCTAGGCAAACAGTGCAGAGAGGGGCTCATGGTAGGGTATAATCCAGGGCTAAGTGATGTTACAGCAGTGTGTGCGTGCAAAGAACGCAGGCTTTAGAATCAGACAGTCTCTATCACTCACTAGCAAAAAGTAATAACTACGACTAACATTCGTGAGGCACTTCATAGTTTTATATAATATATATCTTTATAGCTTACATAATATATATCCCATTTAATCTTCTCAACAGTTGTTAAAGAAGATGGATCATTATTAGTATCTCTCTCCTTAATTTACAGATGGAGAAACCAAGGTACAGAAATAAACTAATAGAGCCAAGAGTCAACAACCACTTAGTTATAGGTGGCCCTGGGACTTAGAGCCGCCTATCCTGATAACTAGTTAAGTGCCTTTTCCATTATACTGCAAAGGCTTGAAATTATATATACTAATCTTAGAAAGGAATTACAATGAATGAATTCAGGGTTCTGTTTATATAAAAAAAAGGCATTATACATATTTAAGTTTCTCTTCTACATATCCATTATCTTTGATCCTTAACTTAAAAAGTCTGAACATTTCCGGAAATTTAAATCTCTTATCAAAACAATGAGTTTTATTAAAATTTTAAGTTAATTTCAAGTTGAAGTGGGCATTTTAAATTGAAAAAAGATGAGAAATGTCAAATAGAACTTTAGATTATGAATTTGCTATTTTTTCATGCTTACGCTATAATTATGAGTTTTTAGCTATCATTTCTCCATTCTATGATCCTTTTCTATTTGAGAAAATGGGAAATACCCTCACTGGTAATTAAGAGTAGGTTACCATGTTGTCCATAATAATCATAGAGCCAACCTAGATAAAGGCCTATAAGAAGATTGAGACATATCATCAATGCCCACTATAAAATGCCTAGCATATTACAAAAACTCTCACTTTTTTTGAGTCTACTCAGCAATGCATGTGTTTAAAAGACTTTTAAATGCACTGCTGATGTAAGAAAATAGGAGGGTCACACTGTTAAAGTAATTATTTCTATATTACTGACATATTCACAGAACTTGAAAGAATTTTAAAGGATGGATTATAAGAATTCAGCTTTTCCTAATTTTAGCCTAGTTGAAATGTGCCAGAAGTTTTCAATCTTTCCCCAAACTTAATCAATAAATTCAGGCTCATACTTTTAACCTCAAACGCGAGGATTATTCTGGTTTCAGTTAAGAATAATCAAAACAAGGGATTAAAGTTTTGGATAAACTTAAGAGGACACTAAATGAAAGTCCTTTTCAAACAGTACTTCTTAACAACTCTTCTTATTTAAGGAATCTCTGAAATTTCCTCATACAGAGAAAGTAAAGGCAGAAAGCAGCAGAGTAAGGATGGTCTTCTAGAACATACCATGCGCTTGAGGAAGTTAAAGTGCTGAAATGTAATCCACTGCTTGTTGATGCTCCTGAAAAGATGCATAAACTTGTGAGGGGATTCCTGCACAGATCTTCTTTCTAGATGCCAGACACATCCTCCTACCCAACCTATAAGACAGAAGGGGAAAAAATGTTAAAACGATTAACGCTTCTCACCAAATGTTGACTGCACCTACCCAGAAACAAAGCCAGCCACTGAGATAAGCACCGCCCATGTGATGGGTCCAAACTTTGAAATGACCTAAGATCCAGATTTGTGAATAAATGCAATTTATCAGCCCTGCTCCCTGTTATGGAAATTTTTCATTTCAGGGTCATTATGCTTTTACTATATTAAATGCTAAAATGACCACACTGAAAATCTTTTTAAGAAAAAAATATAAAACAATCAGGTCAGTCCCTTTTAAAAAAGTACAAAATGAAAAGTACAAATTTTCTCAGTAAATAAGAGTAAACTGGAAGATATATTTCAGATTAATATTCTGGCCATGCAGCATAAGCCAACTAAAAGAGAGAGGAAACAGTTCTCAGTGAAGTATGACTCTACCAATCTAGTTAGGAAGAAGCTATTTTTGTTGTATCTGAATTTGGCTTGTAATCATTCCTCTAAACCTTCTCTCAAATATCAAGAGATCCAATGCTTCTGGGTGAGGCCTTATCCTAGTCAAGCCTTCGACAGTATAACAGCACAGATTCTCCCTTCCCTTTTAAAAGTCTCTCTTCCCATGGCTTCTATGACACCAAAGGTTCCTGGTCCTCTGCTGCCTTCTGCTTATCACTTGTCAGTTTCCTACGGTGTCCCTTCTTGCTGGGCCTGCCACTTTAAGGCGGTTGTGTTCCCACTGTTCTGAATACTACACACTGTCCCTGAGCAAACGCAATCATAGGGTAATTTTTCATCTTCAACCCATTTCTAGAGTCATTATGCCTACTTCCAACAGCTCTCTTAGTATCTCCACATGGATGGGTGGCAATATGTCTTTAAGAACACATTATTCCCATCTTTATCTCTACTCTGGTCCCTACTGCAGATAAAACCATTACCTACTTAAGACGTCAACATCTTGAACTCTTCCTTCATTACCTAATAACCATCAAATCCAGTTAACTCTGAAATACTGGTCAAATCCGTCCACTTCCTTCCATTCCTAGTGATACAGACCCTTATCACCCTACATATGCACTATGGTAACAGTCGTAGGATGCAAGTCACTCATCCTGACTTCAGTAATTTCCTTTCCTCTCCAATCCAACTTCCATAAAGCCAACGGTTTTCTTGCCAAAGCCCAGAACACATATTACTCGCCCAAACATGCACATATAAGTCACTGCAGCAAAGCTGTCTCATCACCCCACTAAGCATACTGCCCATTTCACAATTTGTTCATCTTTGTTTTTATGTTGTTTCCTTGCTGGCACTGTCCGGCCTCCACTATCTGCCTGTCAAATTTTCAAAGTCTCTTTCAACTACTCTACCACTTTATATTCTTTTTTTTGAGGAAGATCAGCCCTGAGCTAACATCCAATGCCAATCCTTCTCTTTTTGCTAAGGAAGACTGGCCCTGGGCTAACACCTGTGCCCATCTTCCTCTACTTTATCCGGGACACCAGCACAGCACGGCTTGATAAGCTGTGCATAGGTCCGTGCCCAGGATCAGAACCCGGGAACCCCGGGCCACCGAAGCAGAGTGCACGAACATAACCGATACGCCACTGGGGCCGACCCCTTGAGGCACTTAATGCAAATTGTTTCCACCATTATATTTTTTCAGTTCCTTGATGATAGGGACTCTCCTTTACTCACCTTTGCTACAACAGCTGGCAGAGTGCTTTCCATGTAACAACCAATGTTTGATGACTGGATCACCCACAGGGCTTACCTGGACTGTGTATCACTGCCCATTGGAATACATGGCAATTTTCTTACACTAGAGATAAGTCACTTCTTCACTGAAATCACATCCTCAAACCTCAGTTAATTATGAAATGCTTATTTTCCATATAGGTGAATATGAGCTGCCTGTATATGTCTACAGGAAGGAATAGCAGCATGGAAATCAGTCCTCTGATATTCAAATTGTATTTTTTTGATGGTGTGTATTTTTTGTTTTTTGCCTTAATATTGTTCTTTGGGATAAAAGGATTTCAATATTAAAAGATTATGTGTAGAACACATCAAAGTTTTATTGTTCTGGGCCTTAATTTCAAAACCATTTTTGAGTTCATTTAGTCCAATGAGAAAACCTTATTGCTGAGAGGGAAAGAACCACCTTGGAAAATATCTCTCAAGATTAAGTGGGTCAAACTGAGATTTTACAGAATGGTAGTAAGAAAAAAACAGCTAGGAAGCTGTACTTTTAAATGATGAAAACACTTCATTTAGTCAAAACATGTCACATTTCTATGAATCAGTGCCCAGAAAGTGAAAGACATTTCAGCCCTATGTAAACAAATGTAGATTTGAAGATACACAGGGCTTACAATAGATACATTAAAAATCTGGAAATATGTGACCTTATCCACCATCAACACTGAGTCACGACTGTAGGGCTTTTAAAATGAGGTGAGCAGACCAGTAACTGAAAGGTCCTGAAATTTTTTTAATGGCTATAAAATACTTTGAACTTTTAAAAGCAAAATCAGACATGACCACTAGATACCTAACATAGTTCCAGTTTACTTTTCTGTCGCCCCTTCCCACCACACTGCTTCCATATCAAGCTCTTCTAGTAGATCTTCCAAGTGGATCATAGTAAGTTGTACAGACCACTCACTAGCCGATTTTTTGGCAAATATGATCATAGCTTCAAGAAGCTAAGCTGTCTATTAATTCCTTCCACACCAGCATCAAAAAGACTGATCCAGCAACAAACCATGTAAACCATATGCGACCCACTTACTGAAACTGGGGAATTCTGAGCAGTCGAATGGAATCGTCCTACAGGAAGCTGAAAATACAGAACTGAAAGGCTGAAAAGCAGCTAGTCTGAGGAATGCACGTTGGAAAACCTCCATACAGAAGTGATAATTCAAGCACTAAGAAAAGAAAAGCTCTCTGAGAATGAGGGCCTAGGGTCAGGATCAAAGAACACTCACAGTCAGGGATGGTAGAAGGTAACAAGGAAGTAATTAAAAAAGAATCACAGACTTTTTAAACTTTCATTATAGAAAATTTCACTCATACACAATAGCAGAAGAATACAATGAGCCCCATTACTTATCCAGCTTCACAATTACCAAACCTTGGCCAATCATCTGTACCACCTCTCACCCCCCCACACTCCTCTCTTGTTGGACCAGAAGGGACTTTTGAGATCATTTAGTTCACTTGCCTCACTTTATAGATGAGTAAACTCAATTCCAGACAACACAAATGATATGCCCTGAGATCACACAGCCAAAAGAGTCCCATAAAATAACGATATTATGAGCAAAAATGAAGAAAGAAATTTCAGAGTCATTGTGATCAACATTGCCAGATGCTGCAGACAGCTTCTGATAGGTGAGGACTAAAAGTTTCTGGGATTGGACCAAAAGGGAGTCCCTAGCTTCTTCTATGCATCTCCAATAGGGACTACCAGCAATATGTTCCTCACACAGCTATTACTTATCATCCTAAACGACTGGGGGCAAAACAATTCCTAACCTCCTCTTTAATATCTCCATCAAGACAAATTTCATTCATTATTGAGAGCCAACAATGTACACCAGGTACTGTTTTGGGCAGTGGAGACACAGAGATAAACCAGAGAGAAATTGTCCACGCATTCACAAGGTTTATATTCCAGTTGGGAGAAACACAATAAACTGCTATATAAATAAACAATTACAGACTGTGCTAACCATAACGAAAGAAATAGGGTGATGCGAGAAGAGAGGAGCAGGGGGCTCTTCTTTAGATTGGGTGGTCAGGTAGGCCTCTCTGAAAAAGTGACACTTGAGCTGAGACCTAGCCAAGGGCCAAGAAAGCGCGTTCCAGGTTCAACATACAGTTGTTACTGGTCCTTCAAGTGAGAGGATTATATCAGGGACCACGCCGATGCTAGAAAGCCACAAGTCTGGGAGGGGCTGTGGCTCCCTGTCTGTAGTTGTCATTGTCATCATCATCATCATCATCATCATGACCCTTTATACTGGATCAAGGCTTCTGGGTGGGGGCAGTGCTCTTCCCTTGTCCTTACATGCCCGTGGCTAGGAACTGAGGTTCTGATGAGCCCAGAGGCTGGTGGAGCTCTAAGGTTCTACTCGGTCCTCTCTCCTCCAGCCTCCATTCTCTGAAAACCGAAAGCAGCAGCAGAGACTGGCCCCTCCTGAGAAGCGGGACGGAGAAGGCAGTGTGGACCACCAGGGCACAGTGCAAGGCTAGACCCCAGCTCCATGACCTCTTCACTTCAGGCTACTCCAAAGGTCACATCCCCACACCGGTACCCAGCCGACCTCGCCAAGGGCTCCCAAGGTTGCAGCCACCCGGAAGCACGGCGCCGCACGTGGCAAAAAGAAGCGAATTTTCCCAAAGTCGTGCCCGCGCGGGCGCAGTACCTGTCAGGAGGCGTGAGGAGAGAGTGTGCGGGGAGGCAGCCATAACGCACGAGTCTGGCCGCTCCCCGGGATCCCCGTGTCCTCACCGGCTGCTGGGCGCCGCCATCTTCCCTCCCCGCCCCCCGTGGGAGGAGAGACGCTTCCGGTCCGTCACTTCCGGCGGGCGGGACGCGGAGAGAGAGGGCTGTGGCCCGAGGTGCTCGGCGCGGGAGCGGCGGGAGCGTGCCGGGCTCAAGGTCGGAGGGCTGTGGGGAGACGCGAGGGGCGCGGTGTGGCTGCGTCTTCCGCAGGGAAGGCTCCCGGAGGTTGCCCGGCATCCCGCGGCCGCATCCCGGGCCCGCGTGCGACGGGCCGGGCCTGCCTGCGGACTGCGCGCGCGCGGTTTAAAGGGGCGGTTGGGGTACTGCTGGGTGACCAAGCGCCAAGGGGACATGGTTCTCAGGACGAGGCCTCCACCTTTTCTTCTGATCAGTTACAGTCCTGTCCGTTATTCGCCGTCAAAGGGGAGGGCTGATGGCTCGGGGTTGCCTGTCCCGGAGCCACACCCAGGGGACGCATCGTCAGAATATCTCGGGATGAAGGTGCGTGTCGGGGTTAAGATTTCGGGCCCTGGAGTCACGTCTGTACTCAAGTCCTGGCTCCACCTCCTGGCTTTCTGACCTGCTCCAGCGAGTTCCATGAGTTCTCTGAACCTCAGTTATCTAGCTGTACAATGGGGATAAAAATAGTGTATATTTTATAAGATGGTTGGGAGAATTACGTCATGTCTCTCCAGTAGGTAGCCAGGCACCTGCCACGGATAGGCGCTGATAAATTCTCATTGGTGCTGTGAGTACTAGGGCAGGTCTCAGTAGCCCTCCCCTCATCTGTTTTTCATGTTGGAGTTCCTCAAGTAAACGTACACTGAAGAAAAAAGATCCAGCTTTTGAAAAAGAAGGGAGAAATAGGTAACTGGGTTCTGTAAGGGCAGTTTCTGTCTTCAACGAAGAGGTGATAGCCGTAATGGGTTCACCTCAGTCAGCATCGCTAGGTCCAGGGGATGCTGAGAAGAAGAAGACTCCTGATTCTGTAGGAGCTTACCCTATACCAGTGGGGGTGAGAGGAGCTGTCAGTCAACGGAGTCAGTGTGATAGGAGTAATGTGGAAAGTGCTGCAGAAACAGATGAGATCACAATTCTAGTATGTTGGGTCGGGAAAGTCCTCATTACTCAGAGGAACAGTAGATTTTGGATACTCCATGAAAAGAAAAACAGCATTAAATACTATGTTAAAAGTTTTCAAACTCCTTAGAATTTTCCATGTGCTTTTTATAAACATTTGATGTTTATATCCATAGTAAATCTTTATGAGTAACACATTAAGGCTCAAAGAGTTTTAAGTGTTCTGTCCAGAGTCACCCAGCTGCTGAATTCCAGAACCAAGACCAGAGCCCCTGATACCTGTTACAGTGTTATTTCCACCGTACAGGACAGCCTTATGCACATAAGCATCTTGAAGAGTCACAGCTCTGTGATTTGTAAAGCACAGTATTTTAACCGTGGCTGCCTGTCAGAATCACCTGTAGGGCTTTACAAATTACAGATGCCTGAGCCAACTCCAGACCTGTTAAATCAGAAGGGGTGTGGAATGGATGGAAGGGACCTGTAATTTTCTTTTTAAAGCGCCGCAGGTGATTTTGGTACATAGAACTGAGAATTACTGGATTCCAGCTTTTTTTTTTACTTGACAACACAGCTAGTCTAACAGGTTATTTAACATAAATTTTATATTTCAGATACTCATAAAATATGAATTCCCAAGTTCTCTAGGCTTATGGTAGACAAGGAGTTTAATAGACATGTTCCTCCTTGGCCAACAGATTTTTCCTTCATTTTAAATCCTTTCCAAAAATAGGGGCAAGTTGTGATCAAGTACATGAATGAATGCATAGGTTTTCGTGTATCGAGAGAAACCAGAGTAAATGTTTTACAGGAGAAATGCCTAAAAGATGAATACATTCTGGCTTGGTTGCTCAGGAAGTGCATTCATCTGTTTTGTAATTAAGTTAGCCTAGGTCAATAGTCTCAAAGCATACTCTCCTGAAAAGTAATCCCTGGAGATACTTCTGGAAAGAAGAGGGTTCCATGGCTATATACATTGATTTGGCCACCTGTTGCTGCAAGGGAGGCTGTGATTAGCTTAGGCTGGTCACATTCCATCTTTAAAGTAATGTTAAAATTGAGGAAGAAGTAGGGAATGGATTTTGGATGAGCAACTAAAAGAGTCAGCCACAACTTCATTGAACCTATTGTGTTTTTTTTGTTTTTTTTTTTTAAAGATTTTATTTATTTATTTTCCCCCCAAAGCCCTGGTAGATAGTTGTATGTCATAGCTGCACATCCCTCTAGTTGCTGTATGTGGGACACGGCCTCAGCATGGCCAGAGAAGCGGCATGTCGATGCGCGCCCGGGATCCGAACCCGGGCTGCCAGCAGCGGAGCGCGCGCACTTAACCGCTAAGCCACGGGGCCGGCCCGAACCTATTGTTTTCTGAACATTTTGAACACAACCCATTTTGTGAAATATGAAACCTCGGGAAATGCTAGCCTTACACACACGAAGCCAAACACGCAAACAAACAATTTCAGGGATTGGAATATGTTTGTATTGACAATTTTTGCTTATTCTAAGGTGAATCAGGCTTCTTGGTTTGGAACTGCCTTGCTTCATTAGACTAATTTTCCTGGATAGGTTTGTTTAGAAAATGCCATATACAAGCTCTGCCCTTTAGTCAGTGTAGATTAATAGGACTTGTAGAGATAGGCCTCAGACATCCATATAGCTCCATCTTTTCGTTTCATAGATTTGGAAACTGAGGTCCAGAGAGGTTAGATAATTTACTCTGAATGATAGAACTTTATCTGCAAACATCTAAGCCAGCATTTTTCCATCTCATTCTATTGTTTTTCTTGTCCCTTGCTCTACATGTAGCGTCTTTGCTAATGAAATGATGTGGGGCTGTACAATTACATATATATTTATTTGACTTTGGATTTTTTACATTTCAAGTAAAATAAAGATATTTTGTAAGTTATGTTTTTAATTACCTCTTTATTTTGTTCAGTATTGCTTATGGAAAGAGATATAAATAATTAAAAGCATTATTTTTAGCTAAAAGCATTTTAATTGTTCCATAATTATTGGAAATTGAATTATATCATTCAATTTTATGTTAATTTGGTCATTAACTACAGTTATCACTTGCTTATGTGTTTTTAAACATGGTTCTAAATAATCAATAATAAAGCTTTCTATCTTATCTCTTAAAATTAATGTTACCAAACTTCAGAACCTAGATAATGACTCCTGTGATTTTCCTTAACATTTCAGCACTGAGGTAAAAATTAAGCTGTTCTCAAGTCCCACTTGTCCTGTAGTGGATTTGCTTCAAAATTTGAAAGCAAAATTTCAAATAAAATTTCTGCTTAGAGTCTTTCTGCATGTACTGAATCAAATATGCATTTTATACCACGTGACATGACTTCTGAGTAATGCTGACTCTTTCAAAGCCTTGCCTGAATATCCCACAGTAGATGAAGACCTAAGTTTCTCTAGGAAAAGTTCCAGCCTAGTATGCAGGATGTAATCAGCTGACACAGAACTATCTATCTAAAAACAATAGATTTCATAACCTAAGGACAGGAAAAGGATCTATAGAGTTTTTGCAAAGAAGATATACAGATGGCCAATAAGTACAGGAAAAGATGCTCGACATCGTTAGCAGTCAGAGAAATGCCACTTAAAACCACATTAAGATATCACTTCACGCCCACTGGGATGGCTGTAATCAAAAGGACAGATAAGAGATGACACCAAGTGTAGGTGAGGATGTGGAGAAATTGGAACCCTAATATGCTGCTGGTGGGAATGTAAAATGGTGCAGCTGCCTTGCAAAACAGTCTGGCAGTTTTTCAGAAAGAGAGTTATTATATGACCCAGCAATTCTGCTCCTAGATGGAGAAATGAAGACGTATTTGTTGGTGGTGCTGTCAAGTTGGTTTCAACTCCTAGCAACCCTCTGTATAGCAGAGCAGAACCCTTCCTGGTCTTTCTGTGCCATCCTCTCACCTTCCAGTGCTTTATCAGGCAATGCTCCACTGCTATTCATGGGGTTTTCATGGCCAATTTTTTCAGAAGTGGGTGGCCAGGTCCTTTTTCCTAGTCTGTCTTAGTCTGGAAGCTCCGCTGAAACCTGTCCACCATGGGTGACCCTGCTGGTATTTGAAATCCCAGTGGCACAGCTTTTAGCATCACAGCAACATGCAGCTGCCACAGTATGAAAACCGACAGGTTGGTGGTGTGGTTCCCTGACCAGGAAACAAACCCCAGCCGGGGCGGTAAGAGTGCTAAATCTTAACTACTAGACTATACATACTCAACTATAAAAAAGACAACCCAGTTTAAAAATAGGCAAAGAATTTGAATAGACAGTTCTCCAAAGAAGATATACAAATGGCCACTAAGTACTTGAAAAGGTGCTTGACGTTAAACCACAGCAAGATACCACTTCACACCCATGAGGAAGGCTATAATCAAAGTGGAGTAGTAATAAGTGTTGAGAATGTGGAGAAATTGGAATCCTCATACATTGCTGCTGGGCGTGTAAAATGGTATAGCCACTTTGGAGAATCTGGACACTTCCTCAGTAACTTAAACGTAGAGTTACCATATGATCCAGCAGTTCCATTCCTGAGGATATACGCAAGAGGAATGAAAACGTGTTGACACAAAAACTCATACATGAATATTCACAGCAGTATTATTCATAATAACCCAAAAGTGAAAACAATCCAGATATCGATAAACTGACTAATGAATTAATAAAATGTAATAAATTCATATAGTAGAATATTTGGCCATAAAAAGAAATGAAGTGCTGATAGATGCTGCAATATGAATAAACCCTGAAAACATTATGCTAAGTGAAAGAAACCAGTCACAAAAGATCACGTGTTATCAGGTCCCATTTGTATGAAATGTCTAGACTAGGCAAATCCATACAAACAGAAAATCTGTGGTTGCCTACAGCTGGGGGAGGGGATCAAGGGAAAAGAATTGTGATTGCTAATGGGTACAGAGTTTATTTGTATGGGGGCTGAAAAAGAT